GCGGTAAAAAAGAATGCGTTTTTTTTTTGTGACACCCGGTACATTCTCTAAGCATGTACTTGCACTTTACTAAAGTATTTTTTCTGGTACTTTCCAAGGACAGTTCAACTCCCAACTTAGATGTGTATTCCCCAAATGTGAAAACGAAGAATGGCATATCATCATGTGAAAATGCACTATCGTCTTTCGAGACATCATCTGGTCATATCACTGAGTGAAGTAATGACTGTTGTAAGGCCGATAGATGTAAGTGCCTTATAACTTGATTGTGTTAAATAGTTCGTCAGCGAGAGTAAAACAACTACTCCGGGGCGACTTGACCTCATCCAATATTTGCTGCCATTTCCAAAAAAGACTGCCACCTCCGATTGCCCCTTGAGCAATGCATACCAGTTAAGAAAAACTGTATAGGGAATAAGAGGGCACGATGAAAGATTGCGTTAAAATGTACTTGTACTTTGCATTGAAAGTGAAACTCATTTATAGAACTTTACTTTAAGTACATTGCATCAGAAGTTACCACTTCACTTGAAGTACATAACTTATCATTTGCTTTGTACTTTACTTCAAGCACTTGTTAGATGTACTTTACGCAACCGTGTAAACAAGCAAACACGTTCTGGAAAATACAAGCTCAGGCAGTGCTAAACCTCAAAGTAGAAATAATACATCCGCAGCACATAGTTGACCAACAAGCAAACCAAAAAAGCATGCAAAACATTTAGGCACGCAGAAGCAGCTGAACCTGTTATTAAAGCATGTCTGTGAAAACACAAGCCGCAGAATTTCGTTAACAGAGCATAACCTATGTACTTTCTCATTACCATAAAAATATAAAAGTAACGTCAACAGTAATTCGCTACTTTTTTACGGTAGTCAGTAATTTACTAAATTACTTTCTATTTGAGTAATTTCTACTCTCCTCAAATTACTTTTGAAGCCAACACTCAGTAACTTAGCTTAATTAATTTTTTAGTAACTTTTACATGTCTGGTTAAAACGTCATGTGAAATTTGACAAAGGAGCATGGGCATATTGAAACTGGGAGCGTATGGAAACAAACCAAATGAGAGGATACAGTACATTTAAATTTAAACAAGGGTTAACAGAAATGGAGGATACGCGTTAGGCAATTATGCATGAAAAATAAGTTGAACCCAACATTAGCCAACCTAACCCGAAAGCTGACATTAAAATACCTACACACTACTCATGCCGCTGAGTAGACGTCTCGAGGAAAAAATAGCTTATATATATATATATATATATATATATATTCGTCCATAAACGATATTATGAAATGAGAATATATAAGAACATATAAGCACCTCATAAAGAACCTATAAGACAATATAAGATGATATAAGGAATTTCTTGTTAGTTTCTTATAACTTCCTATAATATCTTATATGTTTTTAAAGGTACTTATATCTTCTTATATGATCTTACTTTATGATATTTGTTTATTGAACAAAGAAATTCCTTACACATATAAGGTTTTTCACTATAGGGTTAGCAGGGCAAAACAAGTAAAAGAAGCTGAAAAGAAATTTTGGGAGGAAAGAATGCAAGAGAAATCAGCTTTAGCGATGTACAGGTCACAAAAGCAGGAAGAAAATAGCCGGAGTTTGATCATTCACAGGGAAGCTTTTAACTGTCTGAGGCGAGAGTGGGAGTGTTAAGGGCAAAGATATATATGTCTAAATTTTACGAGATAGGTATATATGTGCTGTATGCCTTAGTGGAAGTGAGACGCTAGAACATGTGGTTTTGAAGCGCTCTTGACTTTATCCTGCCCTCCCTGAAAGTGTAACAGATTCGACGGCAGCACTGGAGTTTGCTGATGAGGATGGAAGAACGGAGGGATGAATGATTACAATCACACACAGGAGGTTTGAATATAGGTGGAGAAGGTCTAGAGAAGCGTGATAATACACAAAATTGTTGGCGTAGATGTTGCAACGAGACAGAATTTATAACAAATTTAAAACGGATGGGTGAAGATGTTTCTAGGCTAGGTGACGCAAGCTTCCGCCCGATACCAAGGGTGTGGCCAATAGCATATATCCATTCATCTATATAATGATAGAAGACATACGCTTGCGGGAAGTTGTCTCGTCGCCTTCAAAATGCCTTTCAAGTAAAAGGAGCGGACTGAAGGGGGCATGGCTCAACAGGAACCAGACTCGTTCTGCTACGACCAAGGGCCGATTGAGGAACGATGTTCGTGTCAATTTAACCGGGGGAACGTCTACGCTGCGGAACCTCCCCGCTTTTTTTTTACTTTATTTGTTTAGCCGGTGATATCAAACCGAACCAAAAAAAAACGCCATGAGAATGCACTTTTCACGTTATTTTATTGGCTCCATCTGATGACAGTGTGAGCTCCGGTCGTACTTAAACTGAAACGGAGTATAAACATTTGACGACTAACATTGTTTGTTTCGGAACTTGGCCGAGCGTCTTCGCCAGACTTGTCGAGCGTGCCGTTGCGGCGAGGAGACGACTACGCCGTCGTGGCTGTCTGCAAACGGCCCGCGACCCGATGGCCTGGTTACCCTTCCAGCAAGAACCAAAGAGAAAACCGGCCGAGGAGGGAGGGAGGGCTCGCATGCCCAAGAGCGGTCGCACTCTTGCGAACTCTCCTCGGTGGTTGAAGAGCACCGAACCCTTGGCGGCCGCGTCGAGTCGGAGGGAGCGAAGGGCGTTCGTCATTGTCCTCTGCAGCGTCGAACTTGGCCTAGAGAACGGCGTGTCGTCGTGCGTGTGAGTGTGTGTGTTGCGCTAACGCCGCCGCAACCCGGCACACGGAAGCCAAACGGGTTTTGCAAACCGCGCCGAGAAGCCGTCGTTTGATTAGTGGGTCGAAGTGTGGAGGGTGGATTCAGGGAACGTTCCGTGATTGTGGGAGGGATCGTAGATCGACAAATGGCCTACGGGGCGTCGGCCTTGCAACCTCGCTCCAGAAAAATAAATATTGCATTGTTACTGTTGCTTTTTTTTCTTTTTTTTTTACTTAGACGTACGAGCTTAGAGAAGAAAAAAAGAACGCCTTCGAGAGGGAATCATTCGGTCAATCATAACACACCTCCGAACACGAAAAGAACAAACAAACAAGATTAAGCACTGTGAACGCGTTGACAGTAAGGAAGTTTGTCAATGTTGGCAGAGGCCAGGTTTGGATCATCCATTAACTACGTCGACACGTCATTTTTGCCTGCTAGCGTGACCTCTTGTAGCCCGTACAATTAAAAACCAGGAGCAAGTCACAGCGGGTTAGAAAAACTAAAAGAAAAACACTTTGGAATACTCGGAATGCAGCCGACATCTCAAATATTTATTTTCTTCAAAGAACCGCGTTAGATGCCACTACATCGGAACAACAGTCAAACTAAAATCCTTTTCTAGATAATTTTAATAAGCCTTGTATTCATTTTACTTATCCTTGTTCTTTTTTTTTTAATGTAAACCAAATGTTTGTCCGGGCACAGGTTTGGGAGATGGGGGCCCCCAAGCAAGCCTCCGCCAGATAAAATGTCTAAACTTGATGATCCTGAACATGTACGAAAACCAAAAAAAAAAAACTCCAGAAATTTGAAAGATGAACATACGTCCTTGTTTTTCCCACCCACTGAGCCTGGTTTCAAAACATATACGATCTATACCGGCTACTTTGGGGCCAACTAACGTAGCCCGAAATATGTACAGTGCGCCTTCATTGACCTGAAAGCGCCACACCCAGCATATCGCAAACTGTATCCGGCAAGTATACAAGTTGTACAAAATGCGTCTTTGGACTATCGAATCCCAAGGAGGCGATCCAAGAGCAACATAGTGAACGCGCCGGGGGCGTGCGGGGTTGAGGCAGCCAAGCTTGCGCCGTCATTGGTTGAGGTCGGGGGCAAACAAAAGCACGTGGGCGCATGTAGGGGGTAAACAAACGCACGTGGTGCGCGAGGAGAACTTTCACGCCATACAGTCACTGACAGCTCCAAAGAACAAGGTCGTGACGAGTTACGAGCACCTTATATTATCGTTCCGCAGCTAATAAGATTCCAGTCTTAGCCGCTAAGAACGCCGAAGACCGAATCACCGAGAAGCAAGAATGGTGGACATAGTAAATATATTTTTAATAATGTTTTTCAGCTGTCAATAACTGTACGATGGAAATTGAACACCGACTGACAAACCGCAGACTGGCATCGGGAAAATTATATCTTCTTTAATATACAAACCTTCGTATAACATAATAGTGACCGGGTAAGATGTCATAAATGCAAATGTTGATGCTATATACATACACCGTTCTAAAGCCCAGAATGCGTCGTGTCTGACTAGCCTTAGAAGGTAGTTGTAGCGAAGCTGTATAAGCTCCCCAGAAAACAATGATTTAGGGAATGCAAACATTTAAGCGAGAGCGACCTTCGCTGTTCTACGCGACCTTGTGTGTCTGCTCACGTGCGCAGAAACCTGGAATGGTGAAATAAAACTCCAGGAATGAGCTATAAGGTTTGCGAAGTAGTAATTTGTAGTAACAGATAATTCGGCGCTACAACCACAGTGAACAGGTTTCCGCTAGCTATGACTGTTACTGTTTCTAGGTAGCAATTATTAGAAAGACATTGTGCGCTTATACTTAAGAAAAGTCATAAAACACAATGAACAACTTTGAAATGCCACTAAACACTGAGCTGGTATTAGATCTTGAATTTGGCTCTACATCGCTATGCATTCATCTAAGACAGAGCTATTGGTCGAAACAAATATGTGACAAGAATACTTGGACGTCTGTTATACCTTCTAACTCCAGCGAGTGCATAATAAATGCATATGCGAGAACTATGGCGGATAGGAACGCATACCTCTTCGCCAAGTCATCACGGTTTTCAACACAATCGATGATCCAGCACGCGATCGAGCAGGAAAACACAAAGTTCGTTCAGCAGCCCGTCTCACAAGCACACGTCCGGGCCTTTAGTTCCAGTCACGTCTTCCTGAGGAGTACAAGCGCACATTCGACTACTGCTATCAGTCCCTTCATGAAGTGCAACGACGCGAGCACCAACGCGTGATGCGTGACCCTGGTACAGACCACTAGTCGTCCTTCTTCATTCCTTGCATAGTACAGAAGTCGGAGTTTCCGTTCAGTGTGTAGGCATTGATGTAGAAGTTGATGAAGAGCCCCAAGCCCAACATACCCTGTGCCGTCGCCAGGACCGTGAGGATCTTGGGATAGCCACAATCGTAGAAGATCGGAATGGACACGTGCAAGGTGAGATAGACAAACTGAAAAATCTGCAGCCTGGTCAGGTACTTCTTCCACCAGAGGTACTTTTGGACCTTAGGACCCAGGGCGGCGAGGAAGTAGTACGAGTACATAATTATGTGGATGAAGGAGTTGAAGCAGATGCCCATCAGCACTTGACCGTCACAGCCGAAGGTAATCCACAGCCACCCGCTCAACACTACCAGGAAATGGTGCAGCACGTGCAGAACTGAGATGTGCGAGAACTTCTTTCTTGCCAGGAAGAAGATCGTATCGAAAAAGTCGGCGATCCTCACGAACAGGTACCACCAGGTCAGGTTGAGGATGGTCATGGCGTTCTCGTCTCTAGAATAGCTGACACCCTGGCAGAACACGTTGTAGCCGCCTCCTAGATACGAGTGACGCAAATACTGGTAGAAGAAGAACGTGTTGGCGATAACCATGGACAGGTTGTAGGCCATGATGACCGGCTTGAGCTCGAACGGCTTCCGGTTCATCATCCATCGCGGTCCACCTATCTTCACCACGTAGATGTAACCGAACAGAACCGGGAACATGAACTTGGCGTCCGCCACTAGGCTCCAGCCTGCTGTCCGAGGGTCCCGGAGGGACAAGACGTAATGGTAAAAGTCCACGACGGCCGCCGCCATCTTGACCGGCCAATCGGGGTGTCACTTTTAGGCACAGCGTCTGCCGGGATGGCCCAGCGCTCCAGGACACTCGGGAGTAACAGCGAAACGTTCCGTGTACAGAGAAGTCCACTTCTTTAGCGTGGCCCGACCGCGCTGTGCCGGCTAAGCACTGCGGAGCGAGGTCCCACGTTTATTTTTTTTCTCTTGGGTGAGGGCACGGTCCGTGCCGAGAGGAGAATAAGCAGCGATCGGAGAACTTGCCCACACAAGGACCTGCGGCACCGCTTTTATACATCGCTGACACACTTCTTCTCCCTCGGCCGCCATTCTTTCCCACCGGCAGAGCGGAGAGCGAGAGAGAAGAATTCGGGGAACTACCTCCCCCTCGAACGAAGCGAGGCGCTTGTAATGATGCTCTTCTTGTTTCGGCACTGTTGCGTCAGAGCCAGTAAAAAGAGGAGGAGCAGGAAAACCGGCAGGAAGTTTCGCGCACCGATGCCGGGACATCGGGCAGCGCTGGACCCCGAAGCTGCCCGCTGTTCTGTTTCGGTGCACTGCGTGGGCCACTGGTGATGTCTTCCATGCGTCCCAACCTCCAACGGCGCCAGGGAACGCGCTTCTTGCCAGAGGAGCGAGTGTACGCAAGGCACCGCCCACTGCACATGCAGGGAGCTCCGATGCAGACGCTGTATGTACTGCTGTGTTGAGCGAAGGAGAGGCCGTAGATCTGCACGCGTGTTCGTGTTTGGAGCCGGTCCAGGCGACACGGAGCATCACTGACTGGAACGGTCAGGTCGAGAAAAAAGTGTGTAGCTCTTTAACGCTGCTAGTTACCGTGTCTGACAAACGTAAAAAAAAAATGGGTGGATGGAGCAAATGAGGCTGTGAGCGCTGTTAGTGTATTCCGGCGTCTGGTGCAAAAGTATAACCCCACAATGAGCTCTAAGTTATCAAAAAAATATGAGAAGGCTTCATGACAAAATCCCCAGTTCCTGGAAGGCTGACACAAAGGCAACCAAACACATGCAAGCATGCTGAAACACCCTAAATATTTGATTATTTTTTTTGTTCAGCGCACACCCAAAGTCATCGACTTACTCTTTCTTAGAGCGCAGCTCTTAGGCGCCCGTTCCCGGATTGAACGGCGTCGCCGTCGGCGTCGGCGTCGGCGTCACCGCGCGCGTTGCATTCTGGGACGTCACAGTTTCCCCGCTAAAGTTAGGGGGGAACTGAGTTGGTGTCGGGGTCACGTGACGTTAATTTCCCCGTTAATTTTAGCGGAGAAACTTCACCCGCTAAATCTAGAGGGGAATTTTAGCTAAGTTTCTCGCTATATTTAGCGGGAATATTTTCGCTAAATTACCCACTAAATTTAGCGGGAATGTTTTTCGCTAAACTTAGTGAGAAATTTAGAGAAAATTTTCCTCTAAATGGGAGGGGAAGAGGAGGGGAGGGTACGGAGGTAGGAGTGGCACATTCGCCCCTCCGTACCTTCTCCTCCTCCTCCTCAAGAGCTGCGCTCTAATTCAGCATTACAGAGAATTGTAAACATCTTTCAATTTTTTTTACTGTTAATTTTATGGTTTTAGTTTAAGTTTTTTCTATAAAGAGAGCACCAAGCTACAAGCCTATGAATCCTTATCGTTAAAAGCGCGCAGGTCATTCGAGGCAGCTTCTGTTTCTGTATTTGTCATTATTTACATTAAATTACATGCTGACAAAGAATGACATGACCTTATTCGTCTTTTTAGTTGCCGCATCTTTTTACTTCTCAAAAACAAATCTCATTGTATATTGCAAGGGGAGGCTCGCATAAATTCCAATGGAAAACAGCTGTCAGCACTTCATTGATCTGCCCTGTCAGCTGGTCCTGCATATACCACGATTGTATATCAACATCATGCGGAAGATAACGTTAATCTAGGTCCCTGAAACAATTTTTTTTTCACATTTGAATTTTTCAAATTTAATGCGCAGTGAAGTAGTCGATTCTATTTAGAAACTAAATGTTGCCGCTGTGCAACGTGTAGGTAAAGAACGCACCGTTTTCCATCGTTGTTTACAAATCAACCCTATTCGCATCACACAAGAACCAGCCTCTTCTCATCAATTGACACGTTTGAATTTTATGACACCATTAAGCATTTAGAATGCACACGTCCCATGCAACTTTATTGACGAGAAGACAGTAGTGATTCCGCAAACGACGATGACAACGCCAGTTGGGAGGATCGGTGGCCGAGTGTGTTAGTGGACCTCAGCTCGAAACCCGTGGAATGAAAGCTCGTGCTGTAGAACCCAGGATCCTGGGTTGAATCCCCACCCCTGCCCGTTTCGATCTGAATGAGCGTTGTACCGGCGTGCGGTCGTGTATCACTACTGCGTGATGTACGTTAAATACCCCAGGCTAGTATAGTGGTATTGCACTGGCTAAATTTCTCATCTACAACGCAAACGAGTGTCGCCGCATCTCAAAGATAGACCGACTTTACGCTGTCTAAACACGAACGTTAAATTATTATTATTTTTTTACAGCGCCATGTATACTTTGCACTTCCCTTCAAATATCGAAGACACCGCCTCAAATTCTCAACACTATTGACCCCCCTAATAAATTTCTCTACTCACATTATGGGCATATAGATCATGTGTCGGAAAAGGAGCCTCCGTGCTGTTCCACCGATTCCACCTGAACGAAGGCACAATTCCCCGAAGCGGCCTGCCGTACCAATAGCGTTGATGAGAAGTAGGAGACGAATACTCGATGACATGCTCAATCATCATACTCGTGCCATTCTGACGGAACAGACAGAGGTCAAGCGTCTTTGCTTATGTGCGGGGCATTGATTGCCAAATGTTAGTCAGATCGCCGCCTACGAATTTGATAAAATGCCTCTGCCAAGGCGGTCCAGTCGCCGAATTATAATTGTACAAAAATGGACTGCTTGTCACCAGATAGATGCCGCTGCGCAAGCATGCGCTTTAGCTTCTCGGAAAGAGATCATCCCAGCGTGAAATCTTTGAACCATCTTAATTATTTACGATTTCAGTTGCGACACTCCGCTTCGCCTCGTCCACATGCAATAGAGGAATTAATGTTGTTCAGTCATTTCAAAGTAAAACCTTAATGTCTGAATAGTCGCCAACGTCGATTGTCAATGGTATTTTCTTTTAAGCTTTTAGTTCAGCAAATATATGTTAAGTCCTGAATGCACATCGGTCGCCGCGGTGTCAGCACTCTAGAACCTCAACAATGACCATGATCGCACCTGCCCTCAAGGGAAATTCAACCCAATGCCGCAACCCGTCCTACAGAAACATGCAGTCGCTAGAATCCTATATATTAAGGCCGGCGGAGCAAATGCAAGACAGAGTTTTGACTCTCTTAAAAGTCATGTGATGAGAAGACCCAAATTAGACAATTGTATTTTAACAACAAATAATATTTTAAAAGCTCTGTACTGTTCATCATATCAAAAGCTGTATAATGTTCTGTATGTATTTTTTTTTTTGCAAGTGCCGTCTAATCTGCCCATGTCTGCAGGGACCTGTCAAGCTACGCAATGTAGCTTTTTCCCTGTCCCCTTCTCCAAACTGGAGTCAATAAACTTGAATTGAATTGAATTGAAATTGAAGAAAAGCCGAGAGCATCTCCCTATAGCTAGCTTTCGTCATCGGAAAAATTTCGTCCTATATTTTTCCTTGCGTATGTTCGACACCCTGCAAAGAAAGAGGCTAAAAATATCTCACCTTAGCCCACAGTTTTTCTTTAATTCCCAGCACGTTGAGACCCCTGGGGTTATCTTCATAACGCCCCTCGTGTTATTTCCTCTAATTCGTAGCGTGTACGGAGCGACAAGTTCCAGGACACCACAAACAACAGTTCCAGGAAACCGCAAAACAATATCCGTCTTTCCTCCCACCAAAGAAGTCACGTCATGCCATACATCAGGCCAAACCTCAAAACCTTGGACAGAAGGAAGTAGACAGCACAAAAGAATGTTTCTGATTATTATCTTCATCTACCCTCGGGAAGCATCAAGATGTAACGGAAAAAGAAAGCGAAAAAAGAAAGAAAATCTTTGAAACCATCGTGGCCCAGAGAAAACTTTATGGTGCACCTTGGGGAACGCCAGCTCATCAACCAATAGCAACAACGCACGCGCTCACAAACACTATGGCAGCGGGTTGCGCACGTCATCAGGATTGATTGTGTCAAGGCCGACCGGCAAATGGACCTCACCCTGCTACGCAGAGAAAATGACACACAATGACACACATTCTTAATTTGTGCTTCGAGAGGGCTGCACGTTCTGCTCAAAATGTCTTCGTGCGCACGGTTTGAGGTCGCCAAAGTATGCGCTTCTTGTACATATAGCTACTAGCGGTTTTGACACGCTTTCGTTTCCCATCCACGTGTAAGGCATTTTTAACCGGATTTTTTTTTTTTTGTGAATTCATTATTCAAGGCGTAAAGATAACAGAAAAAAAACTGTGTCAATATAAGAGTTTTAAACCAGGTTCAACACGCAGACTTAAAATAAGCAGAGACCAGCAGGATGAATGGACGTCTAATAAACGTTTTGCGTAATTATTAAAATGTAAAGGCGCCTGAGGCACTGGCAGTGTCTCGGTACAATTCACCTTACACTTAAGGATAACAACAAAAAAAAAGGAATATCCTTGAATACCCTTATTTTCGTTACCACCCTTACAGACAAGAGTCCTTACAATCAAGAATAATAAAAAAAGTACTCTGTCAATGCTGATTTTTAGTTATCATCATCAGTACCATTATTAATATTCTGATCGTCCAAGTAGTGAAATTTATATCTACGACTTAGTTTCAAATTCTCAGTCGAATGTGTTTTCGTGTTTACTGAGAGCGACCATATAACCATCAAATTGTGCTTGCGTATTGCTTTTAATAGCCTATAGACATTAAAAAAAGCAATACCTGACACTAAAAGGTAAAAGCAGGCTTTTAACGTCACACTCCTTTTTTGGCCTTTCTTTTT